AGCAATATTTCATTATTTAAAAATCATTATTGCATAATGTGTGGTGAGTGGTGTGTAATTTTAACATCAGCTAGGTTCAGCGTATCAGTCCAAGCGATCTAATGACTAACATATAAAACCTGTCTTTATCGAAAACATATATTAAAACAGAATAGAATAGATCACGCTGCTCAGCACTACGCATGTCCTAGAATTTTTATTTTACCTTCCGATTTTCGCATACTGCAGAGTGCCTACACTGGGTATAAAACTCAGTGTTTCCTTAAATATTTATGTTTTAATTTGTACTGAGCTATTTGTATTTCATCGACGTAATGGATTACTGCAGGTCGATTCTTGTCCGATTCGAAGTAGTGATGGAGTTAGCAAAGCAATAGATGTCCAACAAGTACTTTAGCATTTTTTGAAATGTTGTGCTCTTCTCCTTCATCATGAGCTCGTAAAAGTTAACTTCCGGTATTGGAGAAGATCTGCCCTAACTAGGTTCGCCAGATCGGAGGACAAGTACACTTAATTTTTGGGTTGCGGTAACATATATTTGCATTGGCTTTACCAATTTTGGATCATTTAGTAGTTAGCTAGTTAGTATTCAGAAAAAAGTTAAAATTCAAACAATTTACCTAATAGTTCAGTCTAATTACTAACTCAGCTTTTATTAAATCAAAGGCCATACGTTAACTTCCCGACAGGCTGTTTGTCTGGAGATTTTGAATTTTGTCGGGAGTCTGGAGATGATTTGAAATGTCGGGTCTGGATTATTGGCGATCACAATATCAGACGTCAACCTTACGCAGCTTTGACCTTCCTGCCCGTCGTGTGGGTATTTTACGACAGGTGTATCCGAGATTAACCTTATAGTGACGATGTGAGAATATCCACTAGCCCATATCGTTGTTTTGCATTAGTTTTATATTTCACAATTTTTTTACATTTTTCACGTACTTAAATATATACTATTGTAATTATTGAAAGTAATATTGTAATAGATATTGGATGATTATTAATAAAGAACAGATTCATTCAATTTTTATTTAAGATTATATAGTAAATGATATATTAAGCATTATTTTAGAAAAAATATATTATTGTGTTATACTAAGTCTGAATAATTAAGGGTATCCGGCCTTTGTACCAAAATGTCCGGCTAAGCTGGATGATCTATCCGGCTTTTCGGTTTAAAGACCTGGCAACCCTACCCGACGGTGTCGTAAGCAGTAACAGAGGGAAAACTAAACAGGAGATGGACCGCAGCACCTTCATGATAACAACTCAAAATAATACAAAACTGCGGTTGACAAGCGTCTTATCTATGTGGGAGACTTACCATCAGCAGTGGATATTATACGCCGTATTGTATGGAATGTATGTAACTGAGATTAAAAAAAAGATAAAAATTAATTTATTTTGCAACCATCCGCTAACTAAATACACTGATGTGTCTTACCTGGATTGAAGAGCACCTCCCGCCCTCCCTCAATTTCATGCACTAATCCCGTCACCACTAATCCCAGCACCACTACTCTCGGCTCCACTTTTCCAGGAAAGACACACCATCGACGATAATACGACACGTGTTTTGCCTCTACACGAGGCATCCTCAGGTAAATTAGTTGTATTAATTGTTTAAATTAATTGTTATCTTTATTATAATGGATTTCCGCAAAGTAACGCCTGATTCTATCAAGTAACTGAGATTGTTTAACGCCATCTATCGGAAGCACATATATAGCACATATATACATTTATGTGGCATTTCTCATAGCCTTTTACTGACGACGACATGACAACCATAACATAAACACTCACGCCTGTCACCCAGAGGGGTAGGCAGAGACTACAGACTTCCATTTGGCACGATCCTGACACACCTCTCTTGCCTCCTTCACACCCATACACCTACGCATACATGCTCGTCGGTTAAGGGTACTCCTAATTTGGCCCATTTTCAATAAATCGCCAATTTGGTCGATAAATTTTCGCCTAGGACGTCCCTTTCCGACTCTGCCATTCACTTCTGCACCATACATTTTCTTTGTCACTCTTTCCGCAACCGCATTTCTACTGCGTTTATTCTACTCTCGTGCTTCTTCTGCCACACCCAACTTTCACTACCATACGTTAAAGTAAGGACCAACACAGCATTGTGAATTGCCATACGTGCCTTTTTCGACACATTTTGACTCTTCACAATAGAGTGCAAGGCCCCATTTACTCTATCTCCCGCATTCACTCGTCGTTCTATATCCTTATCATATCTCCCATCCCTGCTAAATACGCAGCTCAAATATACAAACTCATCTACTTGCTCGATCAACTCCCCTTCTATTCTTATTTCACAAATCGTTTTACTTTCTTCTCTTTCAAAAACCATTTTTGAAAGAGAAGAAAGTAAATCTTTCAAACATCACAACCGTGGTACGAAATGGTTGAATCACCACCGTAAGTTGGTGGCGCAAAAGAACCCATTTACTCGTCCATTTCTTGTGTTAATCTTGCACTATGTTTTTCTGGAACTACTAAAATTATATGTAACCCACATTATATTGTGTGTTTTCATGTTCCCAACACAACTTATAGTAGTACAAATTTTTGTACCAACTGTTTTGTTGGAATCTTGGCGCCATGCTTTTATAAACAAGTGGAAGGAATATAAAAATGTATCGTCACGTTCCAGAGATCTATAACACCTTACGTCAACAATAGTCAAGTGCAAGAGTTCCAAGCGAACAAAACGAAAGCGAACAAACGCAACGAGGAAGTATTCGTGTTGATCCGTGGGCGGAGCGCGTAGGAGCGGAACGGTCGTGCAGTATTTTGGCTTACGTTAGGCTGTTTACAGACTTGCGGATTAAAAAGATGTTTATTCTTATTATTGTTTCAAAGGAAAAAATAGTGTTAATCAATATATTTCCTTTGCTGTATTATATCTCAACTGAAGCCAAGTAAAAGTGTTGACTTTGCTATTTTAAAGAGAAGTATCTATATAAAATCTATAAAACTTATGGGGATCCTGAAATCGCGCTATTAATAGCTGCTGTTCCAGCAGCGTCGATAGTCCTTGAAAATTCAACATTCACTTGGACCACTTGGTATTACCAGAAATAATTTAGCAAATTAAAAAAAAAAACTTGTAAAAAAAGTACGTAATTTTGGAGAAAAGAAGAGATAAAGTCCGTTAAGGACCTTTTTCGGAAAACACTTCGTAGTAGAACCATGCTGCCGCTATATTAGTAGTTGTAGCACGAATGGGTCAGCTCGGCCGGGAAGGAAAACGCTCTCACAGAATACCAGCGTGAAATAGTAGCTTAACGCTGCTGTATTGCGTATGGTGAGTATAGAGAACCGGAGACCCTTTTTACTGGAAAAGAGGCATTCCATCTTAGTCCTCAGAAGTGACAATGCATCTGCATTTCGGTTCGTAACCGAGGATAGATTTATTGAAGATGCTCAAATTTAAGAGTACCCTTAGCCGACGAGCACAGAGCGTGCGAGCGTAGACATATGTATGTAAAAGGAATGAGAGAGGAGTGTCAGGATTGTACTAAATGGAATTCCGTAGTATCCCTCAGGTAACAGGCGTGAGAGCTTATGATTATTTCTTTAAAGCAAGTATAAAAAACCTAGCCTCGAAACCCGCGTCATGAGAACTGATATATAGTGTTTTTTATAGGATAGGGTGACAAACGAGCACACAGTCCACCAGATGGTAAGTGTTTGCTGTGGCTCATTGACATCTACATTTATCCTTGATTAAGAATCAAAATGTAGATGACTTAATACTCAGGGGTGACCCTGAGTATTAAGAGACGAAGAGTACATTCACCATACGAAACACAGCAGCATTAAGCTACTTACGCTGATATTGAGAGCATGGTCCTTCCCCGGTCGAGCCAATCCATTCGTGGTACAACTATATAGCTGCAGCCTACCATGTATTTAATGATTGAAAAAAGTGTTGAAAGCTAGAAAAATATATTTTTCTTCATAAATATGTTTTGACTGTTAATTATCTTATTATATCCATGATAAAAAAAGTGTTTTAGTAGGAAACAAATTAATTTGGACCTGCATTATACTTATGCTAGCATTTCGTATTAAGCTCATTTAATTTATTATTTATATATTTATTTCGTGCAACATAAAAAACTAACGATCGTACGTGTATAATTAGACTTATTTACACAATAGTATACAAATGGTCATTCTGTCAGTTATTTGATACATAGGTACGGTAACCGAGAACGATGGCGAAGTTACGTAGTACTATTATTTATCCCGTGGCGAAGTTCTTATATTATAGAAGACAACATAAAATTGTGTTGAAATAGTTTAAAAATCAAACACGGTAGAATTAAAAATAACAACGTAACTTAATTTAACATCCAAATAAATGCGAAAGCACTAGACTAGACAGTATAGTATAGTCGTGACGTTTCATTTGGCCTTCCGCGTCTTATGCGCCGGTAGCTCCAAGGCTAACAATATTTTGTTCCGCGCTATTCGCTCTGACGTGACGTAACATGTTAAATACTTATAGGTTTGTTTGTTATCACCATAAATTAATGGTTATCACCGAGTAGCCGTGCCATCGTGTTTCGAATTGTGTCTGAATGTTGGAATGATTGGGCTCAATTCTAGGGCTGTTGAACTTACATAATTGCTTTGTTTCCACTACCTACGCTATTTTTTACATTAAATTTGTTGTGTCAAAATGGAATTTAAAGTTGTTTACTTTAGGGTTATATTGCACAGGAGCTTCTTTATAAGTCTATATTGACATACGACCTTGTTGTGGATATTTTACTTGGTATCAATGTACGTAAAATACATAATTGGGTGCTTTATAAAAATACATAAAAACAAATTACTAACATAACAGGAAGCGTTACTCTGTCAAGGTTGCGGCACCGCGCATGCGGCCGCGCTTGCATCAAAGCGCCTCGCCGAGCATTGCTTGCTTAGTCGATTACTCAATAACCCTACACTGTCCTCATATTTTCCTAAATAAAAATGACGTACAAGTACGTCATTTGTTTTTTAAATTTCGTCATTTCTGTATTAAATTTGTTTAGTAAATCTTTTAGTGTACCCTCTTTAGTAGTTTTCATCATTCTTTTTATTTGTTTCATTTTATCATCCTGACCATATGCATGCTCTTTCATAGCCCACTCAAACCATGTAACTTCTATTTCTTCCTGATCATCACAACCGAATAGTTTTCTTTCTGCGCAAATATGGCATTCTCCCAACATGCATTCTTTAGACTGGAAATCACAAACAAAGTCTGAAGTTATGTCATTTAAGCTTTGTTTCTCCTGGAGGAATCCCCGTGACTTCAATGCATCCACCAAAAATTGCATATTTGAGTTCTTCACTTCACAAGCACATGTTTCACAGTTCCTTATTTTGGGAGGTAAGACGTAAAACGGCCTGTATTTTTTAAAAGTACTAAAACTAATTTTTTCCACCTCAGCCGTGTACTTTTGGTGGAGAATTTTCAGTTTATCCAGTTGATATCTTATTTGGCGGGTCACTTTTTTGTATGTTCTATACTCCTTCTTCTCCGGCAGTCGCACGAGATACGTGGTCTCTGTTAAAAAAATCCTCTATTTTATTTTGTAACTTAATAGCCTTACGAATTTGAGCCCTGGTGTATTTTTTTAAACTGCTTTTAAAACCCAAGGACAGCATTAATTTTGTTTTTTGTCTTTATTTCTCGACCAAATCATTTTTCAAAGCTTTTTTGAATGTTCTTTTTTCAGCTTGATTCGAACTTTTCATTTCTAACTTAAGTGCTTCTGTCAAAACATCATGCTCCAATAGTTTTGTTTAATAACTTCTTTCTTTGGTGTTTCAATATGAGGAATGTTTTCACTAATAAATTCTTCAACTTTCTTCCTTGGAGTGTACTTAGCTCTATTTTGTCTCATCATACTGGCTTCTTCACTCTCAGTCAATGTTTTACTATTTTCTAGTTGCTTAAGTCTAATTAATACATTTTTTAAATTTTCGTTCGTTTCATCAATTTGTTTTTTGTGTCTGTAAAGACGTTTTTGCAGATTTTTAAACCTTTTTGACAAATTGAATAAATCTTTTCGTAATCTCATATTTTCTTGCTGAAATTTGTATTCAATACGACGTTGAATATTACGCAAATCTACGGATTCTTTGTCGGTAGTCTTTTGCTACGACGTTGATGGCAATTGTTCTTTAGCTTTTTTTCTATCTTCTTTCCATTTTCGTCTTTGTTCTTCTTTTTGATCTTCTGTGTAATTAACTCTTTTATTTCTATAATACCTCAAAGCATTTTCAGTAGCTTTCTTTTTTATCTCCTCATATTTTTCTGGATTATTAGCTTTAAGCTTTTCCCTGTAATTCTTCCTACCAAAGCAAGATGCTTTTCCGCCGGCGTTAGTGGCCTCTTTAAACAAGTAAAATATAAACTTTTTAATAAACTCGAAAACGGGAAATTTCATTACGTATGCTACCACGCCATATTACTCCATAAATCTTATCTTGATAAATCCTTAATTATTTTCATGTGTACACAAGTAATTTTTACAAGCACTTTTAGGCGATGGTGCAGATTTTTTTTTCATTTTTATAAGATTAGCGATGTAAACTAGACTTTACAATTACTTACGTTACGTCACATAAAAACTTATGTTACCGGCAACATAAAAGTATCATAAAAGCAACGTAAAAGTAACATAATATTCGATTGATTAGGTTATAATATGAAAAAAAAAACAGATTTTCATGCCAAAACATGCTTTCTTGATAAATGTTAGCTTTGGCGCACACGTGGATAGTATTTTGAACATAAACAAATATCTACTTACCTCCCAAAATCGCAGAAAACACTTTTTATTTTAGGTGACGAAATTCACACGTGCGCTTTTTGACACAATCCAAAGACAACAAAATGGCGCTTGTTATTTTTTTCTAAAGTGGCTGTTTGGTGTTGCCAACTTAAATTGTTACAATTACCCCATTTTTATGTTAAAGACTGTATTACTCTCAAAACTGGTAACATAAAAAAGTAACATAAAAGTGTTAAAATTGAAGCCATGTTTTAAAACTAGGATAAGGAATAAACAAATGGCGCTTGAACTCAATGTTACACTGAATTAAGTAGCTCTACCAATGTACTTTCTATACGTTTAAGAATTTATGTATAACTGATTACAAGGTCTGTAATATAGTCCATTGTTTTCGTATCACACTTTATGGACAATAACTTTTTATATGAAACTTTTATGTCATCTATACATTTAAATTCGTTTTAAAATAAAATTACACCCAGTGTAGTTAAATTATAAACTAAAACAGTGTTGTGAGGCATAATGCTACAAGGTAAAAATATGTCATCTGAAAAAAATAACAAACTAGGCGTACAAAATTAGAGAAATATTCTTGACTATGAAAAAAGTGGCAAAATCAACGGCCTTACTCACTTGCAGCTTAGAGATACAACGTCTGGTAATGTTAATTTTTGCTTTGAAGAAATGGAATAAAATGTAAGGCTAAGGTTTAAATTTCTATTATATTTTTGATCACTCTCTGACACCCACTTCAATAAAATAGTAGTTAGAACCAAATAGCTCACAGACAAATAAAGACATCAGGAAGTAAGGTTAGTATGTATATTTTACTGTATAATCGGACCCAAAAATATTAATTAAAAGATTTCGCCTTTTTACTGACATATTTACAATGGTTATTTTCTACAGAATTATGGAATGAGGGTGACAATCTAGCATACTGTCCACCAGATGGTAATTGGATGCTGTGGCTCATAAACTTCTTCTATTCTCGATTAACAATCAAAATACAGAATGCGTTGTTACCCCTAAGGACTAAGATGAAGTGCCTTTTTTCGAGTCAAAAGGGGTTCTAGTAAAGAAATACAGCATTAAGTTGTTTCACAATGATGTTGTGTGAGAGTTTTTTTTGACAAACAGATTTGATGTGTAGCTCGCATTCTATTTCTAGAAAAAAAAACAAAAAAAAAAAAAAAAAAAAAAAAAAAAAAAAACCAAAAAAAAAAAAAAAAAAAAAAAACAAAAAAAAAAAAAAAAAAAAAAAAAAAAAAAAAAAAAAAAAAAAAAAAAAAAAAAAAAAAAAAAAAAATACGTTCAGCACCTAATTGTGAAGTATCAACTGTGGAATATTATTCCCTTATTGAAATTCTACTAGCGTAAGTTACAGTCAACTTCTACCGAACCTTAATCTAACTTGAACCGTATTTATTTTTGAGAATCGTAGATATATTTCTCGTAGATATATTGTTCGTAGTTATCTTTATTCATAGATATAGATAAATAAAGTTCCCACTGGCCAAAGGCCTTCTCTGATTTCTGAGAGGGTTTTAGGGCAAGGAAATTTTCGCCGCGCTACCCCAATGCTTGTTGGCGAATTTCACATATCTTCGAAATATTTTTATCTTATTTTTCAGACATGCAGGTTTCCTCACGATGTTTTCCTTCACCGCCGGGCACTTGATAAATCAGTACGTGGCGGTTGGGATCGAACCCGGGTGATCCGCGTACTGTGAAATTTACACCGAGTGTTTAGCCCCTCAGCTACCACGGCTCTTTCAGATAGATGATATATTGTTAGTGATGCAACGAATGATATTTTTACGAATACGAATATGAATATCAAACCTACTTTTCGGCGAATACGAATACGAATACGAATACGAAGACCTTCTCATACTTATAAAAACTAATTTATTTGACGATTTTCTATTGTTTGATAATTAGAATTTTCAACAGGCAAATTTTTATTTAAAAAGCATAAAATTGTAGATTTTCTGGTTTTAGCCGATTTCTATTTTCAGTCTAGATGTTCACAGCCTTTGAAAAAAGGCTTTCCGAGGCGACTGTACATGGTTTCGGTGAAAAATATTTTAGGGCGAGTTTTTTCAGCCTTGGAAAACGGACATCTTCTCGCCAAATGAAAGGCCAATGGATCAGCCGTCGGCGATAAATTTGGGAGCTTTAGATAAGCATATATCTCGTTTTTAGTTTGCGAATCCCCTGTTAAAAATATTTTGAAATTAAAATTTACTTTTACTATGTGAATGATAATAAATACATATTAAAAATTAATAACTTTTTTATTCTCACCACCACTCACCGTTGAGGTTCTTCTGGAGGTCTTGTCGGTCTGACGGCCTCTCTGTCATGAACAGCAACGTTAAGAACTGATCGAGCGGTTTCAGCTACCACTGATGTGAGATCTGACGATCTGACACAAGATTTTTTTAAGTTTCATCAATTTCCTTAAAAGTAAATCTATTCGCAAGTCCACTGAATAAGGATTTTGCCAGATTTTTTACATCAGGATGAGAAGAAGGATTATAGCAAATTTTATTGAGGTGAGATTTAAAACTTCAGATTTCTTGAGTTAATGTCGTTGATTCTTTGCTTAGCTTTTTAGGACCTTCTTCAAAATTGGCCGGAATATCAATAATTTGGTTCATAAGAGCCCATTGCCTTGCTGTGATTTCATGACGACCATTTGGTAGAGATGGTAAAAAATCTTGAATCGATATGCGTTGTTCATGTAAGTAATCTCTTCAACATCTGCTATGTTGAGCCCCATCTAGTTTCAACATCTTGAAACAAAACATGTTTCGGTATATTGTTAGCTTGTTGAGAATCTTTCAGTTGTTTGAGTGTTAAAATTAGTAATAACTCCCCATGCATATGGTTAACATTTTGGCGATACGTTCTTGACCAGACAAATTTTTTTCAGCGCTAATTGGTTTCTGTGCACCAAATAAGAAATATGTTTAAGACTTTAATCAAACTCATCAATAGCTTTTGCTATATTCCGCGCGTTTTCCGTTACAACTGCTACAAATTTATCCAATAGCTGCCATTCGAGACACATCATATGCATATTATGGGCAATATTTTCTGCTGAATGTGAGTCACCTTCAAAAGGACACACTTCCAGACAATAAGATTTGAGCTGGAACTCTTTATTGACACCTTGGCAAGTAAGAATTATAAAATCAGTGACTTGTGAGGAAGCGTCACTGGTCCGCATGTCTGCCATGAGCTGTGACAGAGAGATATTTTAAAATATCCAGTAGACTTTTTTCCGTCTGTCTGGTGGGTTGTAGATATAATTTAATATCTGTAAAAAAATAACAGTCAGGAATTCAAAAGTCGTGGGCAAAGTCTAGACATTATTTATCTACCTTTTGTTGATGCAAAGGAAATACAGACCATATATCTACTTACTCGGTAATTTATCGAAATGTTTCCATATCTTACTTTGTTCTCGTTTACGACATATTCTGTTTTTACTATGTTTACGAGAAGACATTTTAACTTCAACTTGTTTCTTTCACTTCGCAGCAACCTCACAAAACAAATAAATTAAACAATAATCTCTTGCTTTTTTTTTACGATAGTGTCAAACGAGCACACAGTCCACCTGATGGTAAGTGGTTGCTGTTGCCCATAGACATCTACATCTATCCCCGATAACGAATCAAAATGCAGATGCGTTGTCACCCGTGAGGACTAAGATGGAGTGTCTCGTTTCCAGTAAAAAGGGTCTCCGGTTCTCTACACTCACCATACGAAACACAGCAGCATTAAGCTACTTTTTTGTGCTGGTATTCTGTGAGAGCATGGTCCTTCCCCGGTCGAACCGATCCATTCGTGCTACAAATATACTACTAATATAACTGCAGCATGGCTCTACCACATTAGTAAAGAAACCGACGCTCTACCAACCGACGTTCGACGAATCCACGGTAAATAATGATAGGGAAACTCCCGGAGTGTCGGGGAGTCCCCTTCGTTGCGGCTAAGGGCCTATAAACAAGTCGTATTTTTACGCGCCGACGACGCGCGTTTTCAAATTCTGCCAGTAATCACAGTTGCGCACAAAATATTAGTTTTTAAATATTTGTGATTAGTATTCGCCGAATACGAATATTCGGTAAATGTGTACTATTCGGCGAATACGAATATTCGTATTCGTTGCATCACTATTTATTATATAAAGCATTTATTGGTTTCTTCAATTACAGACGTACGTACTCAGAGGCAAAACTAGTTTCTATCTAACTTATTACGTCAAGATACGTAATAGTATATAATATCTAATACTACGTGTTGCAGTTTAACAAATAAGTCCTTAACACTGATTTCCAGCTATTATCTGGCGATGGCGAGACGAAAATGCTTAGACCATTCAAAAATAATATTGTCTCGTTATACAAGTACAGTGTGAAACATGTTAAAATTGTAAAAAAAAACACCAGCCTATTAACGGATTGGGTCGCAGAAAATTTTTGGCAATGAGGAATTTAGAATAACCTCAATTTAGTATAATGCTATTTAAATTAAGATGTGTGCTATGTTTTGTTTCCTGCGGTGCTGACTTTTTATAATACGAAACTTTACCGATTGATTTCGTTAACCATGTTCGCTTAGAAAAAATAAGAAAATAAATTACACAAAATTCTTCAAGCTGCACGAAATTCTAGCATCGCAAAATGCGTTTGTTTTATAGATATTATGTTTATTTGTTCTTTACTGTAAACACCATAATCTAAGGGCACCTTTGTACCGTCCATCTTATCCTGTGAAGAAACCTTTGTGCAATCATTAATTTTCAATGAAACACAAATTTTTCATTGTAATCTGATGAATGGTATAGGAACGCATAAAAGACGGACAAACAAATAAATATTTTTTTATTATGTTAGATTGCAACGGCGCCTACAATTTGCAGAAATATCCCGCAAAGTGCAGGGCATTTTGCCACCCCACACTTTTTTATATTTGATGTAATTTATAATAATAACGTAATATATCAAAAATAATATATGAGAAAAAAAACGTTATACTTCAAAGAACGAAAGAACAAATGTTTTTCGAATCCTCATTTACCAATCTGCCTGACAACGAGAACAAAGATTTTTCAAGTGCTTATCAGTAGAGGTGAATGAAAAATTCTATATTAATAATATTGACGATTTAGCCTAATTACAGTAACATAGTGTTCGAAAATATAATACAATGGATCAGTCATGATTCGTAGAAAGGCATTGACCAGCGGTATGTAGTACTAGTGCTATTATTTATTATATGCCAGCGGGTTTTTTATTTCAAAGCTCTCATAGCGCCATTTTGTTAAGTGATAAGTTTTAATAGATTTGTTTACGATTAGGTGCAACAATTTAGGTCGTTAAATGCAGGGTCGAATATCGCGTAGCAGCAGGTCGCATGTCGGTTCACATGGCATTTTAAATTTGAATGTGTATAAAGTACTCTTTGTAAACATTTAAATTTACTCTCAATAAATTTATTGTGTAATTGTATACTTACTAAATTATATTACTATATAATCTTAGATTTAATTATAATTAAAATATTTACGTTACACTTATAGTATATTATATATAATATGTAACTATTACATATTATTATATTATAAGAACTAGCTGGTCCGGCAGACGTTAATCAGCCCTTTCTGGTTGATTACGCGATGAATAACGTATATCTAAATCCTCTATATGACTCATAGAACCACCACAACCATTATGACAATAAACTTAAAAAAATAAAAACATAACCCTTCTTTTTGACTCTTCCGTAAGCGGATAAAAAGATATACGCTATACGCCATCATTTACTGCTTACACACCAAATTTCATGGAAATCTGTGTTTAAAATTTCATGGAAATTTGCGTGAATCCCGAACAAGTAATTTTTCTACAGATTTATTTTTAATACGTATATAGATTATATGTATAAAAATGTCTAATTTTTGTATAAAACAAGTAAAGTTACAGTCTAAACATATACGTACTGCTACTTCTCTTATTTTTGAGAGCGTGATGGAAGAATTAGTTAACCGCGCTGTTCCATTGCGTGTTTGCGGATTTCAAATGCACTCGACATATTTAATATTCTCACATGCAGGTTTCCTCACGATGTTTTCTTTTATCGCCGAGGATGTGGTAAATAAGCACTTAAAATGATTTAATGTTAAACCCGGGGTGATTATTCACTGTGAAATTAAATTTAAGTATTTTGCTTCTACAGCAGGTTTATTAAGTCAATTATTTAATTATAACTATGCAATAATATATTATTTTTTATAGAATATGGGTGCTAAACAGGCACACAGTCCACCTGATAGTAAGTAAATGCTGCGGCCCATACACATCTACATTTATCCTCGATTAAAAATGAAATCCTTCTTACATTTTTTTTCTTAATCGAATATTCAAGGATTGAATGCCCTTATTCATTGACATTTATGCTCTATTACAATTTAAAAAGCAGACTATGCGTTGCTACCTCTTAGGACTAAGATGGTCGTGATCGTTTCCAATAAAAAAGGGCTTTGATTATATAGACAGGTATATAATCAAAGAAAAAGGGGTTCTCTACGCTCAACTCACCGTACAAAGCACAGCAACATTTAGCTGGTATTTTCTGTTAGTATTCTGTGAGAACGTGGTCCTAACCCGGTCGAGCCCCAATCGTGCTTCATCATAACATAGCTGCAGCATGGCTCTTACACGTTGACATAATAATATTTATAAAGTAATAATGAAATGTCAAAATATGTGTTAGGAAAACAATACTAGACGCTTAGGTATTCGATAAGTTAAAATGCTTTAATAAATTATTTAATTTTTCTACATTTAATAATCGGCTCTTTGTTTTATATTTATAAGTAAAATTGTTTTAAACCATAATACTTTTTTTGTTTCAGGTCGCCAGTTCAAAGCGCATAAAGTGATACTGGCTGCTTGCAGTAAGCATTTCCAGGAGTTGTTCGATACTGCCCCGCCTAGCCATGCAGGAGCTTGCTACGTTTTCTTGGAGGCCACCAGTGCCGACAATATGCAAGCTCTACTCGAGTTTATGTACAAAGGAGAAGTGCACGTCAGTCAGGACGCCCTCTCCAGTTTCCTTAAAAGTGGGGAAAATTTACAGGTAAACTTCATGTAATAGCTAATTTTCGCTATACTTTATTTTATCTGTGTGTATTCTTATTATGATTTATCCGAGGTTCCATTTGGGAATAAACTTAGGGGTTTTTCGTCCGATATTTGTAAAACCTCCGGATAAGTTAGTGCAACCTTTGCTTAATCCATTTAACAACTAAAGGTAGAGCCATGCTCCAGCTAAATTATAGTTATAGCACGATTGAGTCCGCTGAACCTGGTAAGGACCACCTTTTCACATAATACCAGCGTAAAATAGCAGCTGCTGCTGTGTTTCGAATGGTGAGTGTAGAGAACCGGAACCCCTTTACTGGAAATGTTTCCATGTTAATCCTCAGGGATGACAACGCATCTGCATTTTGATTCTTAATCGATTATAGATGTTGATGTCTATGGGCCACAGCATTCAATTACTGTCAGGTGGACTGTGTACTTTTTTGTCACCCTTATCCCATAAAGAAATATATTTTATTTTATTGTTAAATATAACAGGGAGAAGCCGAAGATTTATTGTCCTGCTTTTCATAATTCGCCCGTGAATAGTTCAGCCGTCAACTATTCACTCTATTTAAGCGCCAGTAGAACCAGAATGACCGATATAGCCCAACGGATTAGTAAGCTGAAGTAACAATGAACCGGCCATATAGCTCGAAGAACCGACAACCGATGAGGAAGAAAGGTTCTCGAGTGGCATCCTCGTACCGGTCGGCGTAGTGTAGGGCGACCCCCCACTAGATGGAGTGACGACCTGGTAAAACATGCAGGAAGTCGATGGATGCAGGTGGCTCAGGGCCGTGCTTTGTGGCATTCCTTGGGGGAGGCCTTAGTTCAGCAGTGGACCCTTGAAGGGCTGTAATGATGATAAAGTACTGTAAACGAGGAGTTACATCTTATTTCTCAGGGGTGACAATGCACCTACATTTGAATTCTTAATTGAGGATAAATGTAGATATCTATTGGTCACAGCATTCATTTTCCATCGGGTGAACTGTGTGCTTGTTTATTAACCTTATTCTATAAAAAGATAATATACATATTTATTATTAAATATAATAAGAAGAAGCAGAAAATTTAT